ATGAGTCTCTACCATAGAAAAGTCAATTGTCAAGGCACCAAAACACATTCAGTACTGAGTCCTGCTTCACTAGCAAGTGAAAGGAGAGAGAAAACTTCACATCTGTGGTCTAACCAGAAGGTAACACATTACTGAGCTGATGCAGAAGGAGTGTTAGGTGCAGGGTTACAATGAACACTTTCTCAGCTCTTACCAGTGAGGTTTCAAAGATGCAACATCCTTGAGCAAGCCCTCAAAACACAAGCCACAGAAACAACAGAAGTTGACACCATGAAATTTTCATAAAGGGGACTTCATCAGTAAGTCTCAAGCAGTAGAAAAGCTGAAGCCTTCCAGCTAAGAAGGCTTCACCAGCCCTCATCACATGATTTTAGTGTCATGTGTCCTCAGGAACTCTTGTTTCCTGATGCAATGGAGTTCTCCACTAGACCCAGAAAGTGATCTGGGACAACTGACAAATCCCATTCTAGCATCTTGGTAATGAAGCCAGTATCCTTTGCTGCCTCTGTGTATTTCATGTCTGGTGAACCAGAACCTGGCATGTCTGCATCCTTTGTCAAACCACCCCTCCTTTCCCAAGAAAACATGTCCTCATCTCCAAAAGCAATTTCAAGCAAAAAAAAAAGAACCTGTACAATCAACCTCTAACTTACAAAACTTCAACTTATTAATTAGAATTATGCAAAAGCGTAACTCACCAAACCTAGTTGGGACTAATATCAAATAATTGATCATTTCTACTACATTTTGGGGAAAATAGGAGGGAATAACTAAAACCAGAGGGGACATGAGAGTGGAAAGAACAAGGATGGAGAATAAAGGGAAAAAAAGCAGTAAAGAATAGAAGAACATGAGAAAAGAAAAGCACAGAAAGACCTGTTTCAATAAGTTTTTCAGAAACCATGATACCTCTTGAATTGACCACTGTATCCTAGGTAATTTTTAAGCAATGTTACTCTAGGATGATGATTCTAACATTACGAACAAAAATTCCAACCAATTGGCACTAGATTTACTGAGACCAATGTAAAGGTGCCTCTTAATACTTGCTACTTTATGAGTGCTACATTCCCAATATGAAATATGAGAAAACCTTTAAAACTCCCACTAATCCCAAAAATAGATAGCTCCTCAGCAGTGTGGTCTCAGATGTTCTTTCTGAATAGGGGATGTTATCTTGAAAACAACACTTGAGGACTTGAGTTCTGCTCTTAGCCCTATAATTCCCAAATATTTTTAATTAAAATTTGCATAAAACATATATTTTTCTGTTTATGTTTTCACAGGTCTTGACCATGGTTATCCCTAAATCACTGTGAAAAGGAGAGAAATTATCTAGTC